ATGGGGGGCAAACAAGGGCTAAGTTTCATAAACAATTTAATGGGGCATTTGACTTCATTTGTATTGTGGAAGGTGCATTGAGCTCCTTAAATATTTTCATTCTCAATAGCTGTATCTGCTGTGGCCATTTGACACTGTCAACATTCGGTTTTCAGTCAAATCTAACACAGAAATTATCATATGTGAGTTGAAATAGCATAAAAATGGCCTTGTCATAGTTATGGATACTCTTTTTTCTTCATATTAAGACCTTCTATATTTCCCTTTCAATTTTAATTGATATATTGAAATGAAATGAATCGTAAACCCTTTTTTATTTATTTAATTTCTTGAAATAGCATACTCGGCGAGTTATAAGATGAGGTATTTTAACTATGAGTTTAACTGATCTAGTTGATAAGACTAGGAGGGTTATAAACTTTATGTTAGAAATTTTGAGCATTTTAAAATCTAAAGGTTTTAGGTGAAGTAGAATTAAGATGAATGCATAAAATGTCTTCTACTATAGTAAGAGTAAGAATGATTGTGAGTCACTACAGAGGATCGTTTTATTCTAGAGAGTGATTGTTTCTATTTACGTTTGATTTGATAAAAGACGTAATGCATATGACTAGAGCGAGTTGGACAAAATGGAGAAATGATATTACAATTTTTAATTGACCAAAAGGTACTTGTCTTGTTCAAATGCTAGTTTTATGCAAGGGTTAGTGGAGGACAACAAAAGAAGGTTAACTTTTTAATCACTCGTTTGGAAGTTTGGTCACAACAAAGTTACAATTTAACACCTTTTTTGGACTTGTGCTTTTCCTACTTGGACTGCCTGTATTGACTGTTTGCCTCGATCAAAGAAGAATCATTTGGAAAATTTTGCTCACAACAAAGTTACTATTTAAGGTCTTTCATGAACTTGTACTTTTCCTACATTTACAGTATTCACCCTTCACCTCAATCAAAGAAGATGCATTATCAACAAGCAATTTCTTCTCAATAATTATAAGACTTGTATGCTTTATTTGACTGTAGGATAATAAGATACATGTAGAGAAAATGAGGATGTTAGGATATTTGTGTGACTACACTAGATAATATAAATAATATGCATAAAGATATCCATGTGAAAATGGAGGTGGCACCAATTTAGGATACATTAAGGAATGAACATTTCAACAGTGCCTTGTGAATCTAAAGAAACTCTTTTTAGAGGAGACGCAATTCTAATATCTATAACATAATTATAAATGGACCTGATATGCTTACAAAAGATTTGATTTTATTAGACCTTTTAGTGACGTAGATTTAGTGGCAGAAATGATTTGTGTAGACGATCCCAAGTTTAATGGAGATAAGTCTTAACTTCTTCTTGTTGATATAAGATATCCGGTTAGAAAGGAAAGGGGACAGACTTTTCCTATTTGAATTCCCAAATAGATGGAATTTGGTGGCTAAAATGATTCGTGTAGCCGAACATGTCTTGTTTAGAAAGGAAAAAGGGGATACACTTTTCATATTTGACTTCCCAAATGGATGGAAAGTTTCACTTGCACTGGTTACTGGACAAATGGATTCCACCTGTCTCTAGGCAATAGAAAAAAATAATAATAATAAGGAAAGAAAAATAACCGACGACTTGGACAGGCAAGTGCTTCATTTTTGAAGCAAATTATTGTCCAATAAAATTTAATCTGATATTCCGATGTTTGATTGCTGACATTTTGTGTAAGGTTTATTTAAACACTGAATGCACTTCTTTTGATTCTTTCATCAGGAATATTCAGTTCTTTGGATTGGAACACCAGAAAAAAGTGACTTCATCCTACGTTGTGATCATTGGTCTTGGAGGAGTTGGAAGTCATGCTGCATCTATGCTTTTGAGGTCAGGAGTAGGCAGACTTCTTCTTGTGGATTTTGATCAGGTACTTTTTCTTTGTGAACACATCTCCTGATTGCTTGACATGCTTAGATTTTGGACCACTCCTGAGGTCTTCTACTTTGCTATTTTTTGTTCATTTTGTTATTTATCCAATGAATCCATAAAGATTATGGATTACATGAGCGGTTGAGGAGAACTGGAAGTTTGGCATATCGTAGAACCGTACCTAGAGAATTTCACTATCCTGTAATTTGTAAATGCAGTTGAAAATCAGTATGCTCTGCTATGATTGTGTAAGAAGAAATTTTTTTCTCTGAAATTGGATGTATTTCATTGTTTCTATAATAATTTAAAACATTTCAGGCTATAAAATGATCTGATTACCAAAAAGAGAAGCTGCGTAGCATCTCCAGCTGCCCATGTATTCATTTTACTCATAACGCTCCTTAGGTTTGATATCTCGTCTTAAAAGAATATAATCATATACTGACTTTCAACTAAAAGTAACCTTTCTAGGTTTAACAATGGTTATAATGATATTGGGTATCAGAGTGCGCTTTATGTACCTGCTTGTGGCATAGAGGAGTTGGCGTACAATAGTACTTCAGTGTGCAGATATATGAGTACTTGAAGCTACTATGTGAAATTTATTATTATATATGTACAATCCGGCTAAATATAATGATGTTCTCAGTCTTCTTATCAACTGACAAATGGATTGATTATTTTATTTCTTGCATGATTTCGAAGACAATTTTAAAAAATAAATTGGAACTCCCTTTACTGGCTCAAGCTCATAGATGTGTTGGTTCAACATAGTATTAAAATTGGTAGAAGGTCTTGGGTTTAAGTCTCATTAGCACCCATTTATAAAGTTTTACTTCTTATCAAAAAAAAAAAAATTTCTAAAGTTTTACTTGTGTTAGGCCTTTGATTTAAAGGGGAAAAAATAAAAAAATCTGGGATTGTGCTGAAGACGACTTAAATAAATAACATCTTTGCATATTTTCTAGTTTATCCTTTCTTCAACGTCATATGAAAATTGTATATTGGATTGAATGATAACTTTCTGGCAGAATTTTGAATGTGATTGAGCTGGTACACAAATAAATTTTAGTGTTAGTTACCATATCATGGTTTTTCTCTCTTATGACCTCTGCCATTGCTCCTACTTAAGCAGCCTTTAGTAAACCACCTGAATCTACAATTAGGGTCCAAATTGGATACAGATCAAATTAGCCAATATTGTTGAGGAGTCTTGATTTGCTTAAAATATTGAACACTTTTTATTTGTTATATCTATCTTCATCAAGGATTGATAATCACATTGTGATTGGTTCTGAAGGTCTCTGTTTCATCATTAAATAGACATGCTGTCGCAACAAGAGAGGATGTTGGCACCCCCAAAGCCCTTTGCCTCAAGAAGCATTTTTTGACAATTTTCCCGGAGTGCCACGTTGATGCAAAAGTGCTGTTATATGATTCATCATCTGAAGAAGAAATTCTTTCTGGGAATCCTGATTTTGTCCTAGACTGCATTGATAATATTGACACTAAGGTAGCTGTACATGTTTCTTGATTTTTTTTTCTTACACTTCTATCCAAAATATGGAAGCATTAATCCTTGATAAATATATTAATCTCCTGTATCTTACTAGAGGATCTTCATTGTTTGGTTCTTTAGGTAAAGAGCAATTTAGATAGAGTATGCACTTCATTATATATGTGATGAATACATTATAACAGGCGCAAGTGACACCACCTTCTTGCAATCCAATATGTGTTTGCATTTTGACCCTGTAGCCAGTACAAGGAACAACTCAACTTTCTTATATTTCATTTCCATGCTTGATGAGTGTGTTAGGTGAATTTTATTTATTGAACTTGCTAAATATACATGACCTTATGTTCATGGAATTTTATTCTCAGTTTGTCAGTATAAAAGAATCATTGTAAATGTAATGACAAGTACATAAAATGACAAGTACATACAACCTGTGTCTGTTCTTTATGCTAACAAGGCACTTGTAAACTATGTAGTTTACTATTTCCTTAATAGAATTTTTACCCAGGCACTGGTTTTGCTGTACGTTGACTGACACTGTTCATTAAATTAACTGGCACTTTAAATGTCTGAAGTTGCTTTCTGTCATGTATAATAGGTTGCACTTCTTGCTGCATGTGTAAGAAGGGGTCTGAAAGTTTTATCTGCAACAGGAGCTGGAGCAAGAGCTGATCCAACAAGAATACGTGTTGCCGACTTGAGAGAGTCAACCAATGATCCATTATCTCGAGCAGTAATGATTTTAACTCGTGGTTTTATGTTATGTTCGAGATATATTTCTCATTTTGGATATGCCCAGACCCTATTTAATCATGTTGCAGTGGAACTTTTAATGGCAAATATCTCGGTTCCAAATCATTTCCATCCACACTTTGTTGAGAAATGAACGTTGACTTTCTATGGTCGGTGCTTCATAAAATGTCCTTGGGTCCAAAAGCAGAAAAAGATAAATATATAGTTATCACTTTTCAACTATTGCTATTTTCTAGATCAAACAAGGCCATACATATGATTAAACTCGATCTAAGTTATTTCTTTCTTTTGGCTTTGTGAGAGTTGAAAAATAATTGCAATCTAATACTTGCCTCACTACATGAACTTGGTTTGTCTCATCATGAAATGCTAATTTATGTGAAATTCACTCTCACCTTATGCCCCAACTGATGTAAATTTTATTATCGGAGAGGTTATCTTCTCAATTCAGATGTGATAATGATGCTTATTAGCTTCTGAAATAACATGTACTATTCACACTGAACTGGCGTAGATAGTATTTTCTCTAGTCCTCTATGATTAATTTTGACACTTGATATCAATGACTATGGCTTCAAAAATAGTGGGATGAAATTTTACCTTTACATCGTGAATAATCTTATCATGAAGACATAGGAGAAAAGCAATAAGATGCTAAATGTACTGAACAGGAATGAGAAATTAGGAAGCCTCGTACCTAAGGGAAAAAGAATATGGAAAACCTACCGTCAGTAGTAGATAGACCAGGTAAATTAGATGTTGTGCTTTATGTACTATATTTTGATGAAATGGGGAAGACACAAATCATAGTGGCTTCTCGAGTCTTCCACGGGTTAATTCTAACACTTGAGCACAATGAGTAAAGTTTCTTGATACAAAGCTGGGATTGATATATGGCTTCTACATCAATACTATTTTGATAAAGCAATAGAAGACAGTCAAGACGGAGGTAATAGAAGACAATAAAGATGGAGGAAATTACTGAACCCCCAAAGATAGGAATACCCGGTGCTACCTAGCTAGTCCAACAAATTGGGGTTTTTTCTGGAAGAACGTAATGAAGTGATGGAGATTCTAATAGATATATTGTATGGAGACTTTCCAAGTTTAGATTCTCATTTTAGGAAAAGTAATTAAGGTTTAGTTAGAACTTTTTATGGTATTTTATCTTATTTTTCCTACTTAAATAAGACTTCTTGAAAGTTGAAACCCTATATAAAGAGGATCTTTGCATTGTAATACTTAAGACTTATTTTTAAGTAGAACTATAATTCCCTCCTTCAATGTTTGCTTCTCTTTCTTCTTTCTCGTGTCTCAGGTTACTCTCCCCTTTTTATCTTCCCCTCTTCTTCTTCCATTTCCCCTCTTTCCATGAGTCTCGCTCTTGTTCTCTTGTTCAATTGTGTTCTACGTTAGATAGATACGATGACTACCAAGAATTTTGGTCAATTCAAATTGTAAATTCTCGTTGTATTCCATCTATTTACAGACAAGTAAGCTTTCATCAAGATTATACTGAAAGTAGATGCATTCTGGATATTGCATCGTGTGGATTGATATTTGATACCCAGTTTCTTGTTCGACCGGTGTAACTTCTATGCATGTCCACAATGTCACTGCTTATTCATTTCTTTTGCAAATCTCCCTTCAAATATTTGAATTTTTTTGTTACTAGTCAATGTTAAACGTGCATTGCACGTTGTTCTGAAATATTTTATAAGTGCTATAAAAGTAATATTTGATGCGAGGAAATGATTGAGTCTCAAACGAATTAAAGAAAATAAAATTTAGGATAGAAATTTAAGAGAAGAAAATTGTACGTTCAAAACTCAACTTTTATGATTCAATTTTTTTGTGATGATGAAATGCTACAAATGAGCAACCTTTTTATATTACATTTGGTACATAAGAATTAATTATTAATACATGAATTTAAACACCCATTAAAATTCTTAAATATATGAATAGAAATAAATTCATCTATAATAACTCTAGATTCATGTAGATCAAGATTCATCAAGTCAAGAATCATTAAGTCTAGATTAATGTGAATGTTAATTAATTCAAAAAACGAAATTTATAAATGACAAGGATTTTGTAATATTTATTACATATTGAAAAGCGAAAAGTGAGGTATTATTGTAATAATTGAGTTGTAGTAGAGTTAAAATCATCCAAAGAATGATTATCACTTGATGTGATATTTTATAGATTATAGATAAAAGTATTATTTGATACGAGGATTTGACAAGTCTCAAACGAACTAAAACAAATAAAATTTATGATAGAGATTTAAGAGAAAAAATTTACTCTCAAAATTCAACTTCTATGATTCATTTTTTTGTGATGATGAAATACTACAAATGAGAAATTTTTTTATACTACATTTGGTACATAAGAATTAATTGTTAATACATTAATTTAAACACCCATTAAAATTACAAGATACATGAATATAAATAAATTCATCTATAATAATTCTAGATTCATGTCGATCAAATTTCATCAAGTCAAGATTCATTGAGTCTAGATTAATGTGAATGTTAATTAATTGAGAATTAATAACACGAAATTCATGCATGACACGAATTTTGTAGTATTTTTTACATATTGAAAAGCGAAAAGTAAGGTATTATTGAAATAATTGAGTTGTAGTAGGGGTAAAATCATCCAAAGAATGATTCTCACGTGATATTTAATATATTATAGATTATACAATCTTAATTACTGTGTTCATTTCCATTATTATTTAGTCAGGATGAGCCTGGCATACAAATTTAATTGACTGTTGCTTGGGTATTCTGCAATGACATAACATTGCTTGCAATATTACCCATCTGGCCAAATAGAGCTCTTATATACTCTAGTTAGCAGGTAAGACACCGTTTAAAAAAAGATTATGGAATTGAAGGCGGCATTCCCGTAGTATTTTCATTAGAGAAACCCAAGGCAAAGCTGCTTCCATTCAAAGGACCAAGTGGAGAAGAAGAAAATCCTTCAGATTATCAAGTAAGCACATTGGTTTTTTCAATTAATAAATATATTATTTTTGTATATTTTATTTACAACAAAGAGAGTTTTTCACACAGTTTTTATGGACTGCACTGTTTTCCTATTTAAGTATCATCTTTCGCCTTCAGCTTCTTACATTCTCATCTTCTGATTTATTAGAAGGTTTAACAATAATACTGAAATTGATTATTAGATAGTGCCAGGGTTTCGGGTTCGTATCATTCCAGTCCTAGGAACCATACCTGCTATTTTTGGACAAGTAATGGCTTCCTACACTGTGACCCAACTAGCAGAAGTTCAAGTTCATATGGAGCCAGTGGTGAATTTTGATATGGATCACTATCAAGTGCTCCATCAGCGCCTTATCGAGCATGAAGAGTTACTATGTGGTACAACTATGCAAGTTCAGGTACCCAAATCTGCATTCTCTCTCTAAAATCTTACTTCACTTCTATTCTCACATAACAGCTCTAAATAGATCATTAAATTTGATTAGGTTGCTGCACAGTTTTTTTCTTTAGTAACAAATATTTTTGCTCAAATTTATACAGAAAATGTAATATGATTTAAGCTGAAATCATTACAATAAAAACAGATGTAATTCGGCATCTTACATGTTCGAGGTTCCTTTTAATTAGGCAGATATATCGGGTTGGAAAGGGAAGGGGGTATTGACCCTGAGGATACCAAGATGTTCCAAGCGCCAGTACCAATGTGGCTTAACTTTTAAAGGAGTGATGTTACTAGCACTGAATCTTTCTCTGATGCCAAAAGTTGCTTTCTGCCATCTAGTTATTGATTTGAAGATTCAGTTGTTTTTCTCTGCTGTCGAACTAATCATATTCCGTGTGATATTTTGAGTGCATCTGCATCTATGTAGTAACTGGGATAATTACATCTGCTATTAATGGAAATTTCAGAAGGGATGAAAATTGGCGTGGAAACTTATTTCTAACTTCTTGGTCCAGTAAAAAGTGAAAACTTCCAACCTCTTGCCGATTAAAAAATTATCAATTTTTTTTCTTCGATTCTATCTTATTTTCTCCTTTTTACCAAACAAGAGAAGGAAAAGTATGGAAAGTTGAAACCCGTTTCCCTTTACTTTTCAGTAGAGGTGTCAAACGAAATGGGCCAGACCAGTTTCCGGTACAGGCATGTCTCTAGAAATTGTGGCTCGGCACATGGCGGGTCAGTTCACGGGACCTGATCATTTATAGTGCAGCCCTGTCCTTTTAGACACCCCCACTTTCCACTCTATAGACCTGAGATTGCCTAAAACTTTTTTGTCATTTGTCAACTAAGTTTACCTTTCAAAAAAAAATTTGTCAACTAAGTAATTCAACTATATGGGAAGTAACTAGGAATTAAATTAACTAATGGTAGGTTTTGGAAATCGAGTAACCTTAACTTGTGTAATGTACTGTAATGTGAGCAGTAGCTTCATTGGAAAATTTGAATGAATCGTGTGTTATTGAAGAATGCGTACTTAAGTGACATGTTCTATAATTCTTCTAGGTGGATGTTGAAGAAGTCATGTACATAGCCAAAGAATTGTGGCATGGACGAAGTGCAAGAGATCAAGCACCTAAAGATGTTGGACGTGGAATGTGGCGATCTGTCAATGAGTTAATGCTTGTGAGGTATGGAGGTTTGTGAAAAACAAAGTTGCTTGTCATAACAGAAAATTTTTCAGAGCTTATACTAATACACCCTGCTATAAACATGTATGTGCTAGTTGCTCAAATAGTCACCTTCAATTCCTACTTTGGCATGGAAGCCAGTTGGAAAAGGTTTTAGCTTCTCCTCACTATTTTGTGATTGATTAGATTGCAGTTATGAAAAGACAAATGGAAGGGAAAGTTAGATGATGAGTCATTAATATTGATTATAATGTCTTTAGTTAAAGAAATCTTCCTGTCCTGAATTCTAAGCTATGGGTATGAGCTGTTAGTCTATTGCTTCCACCCTTTACATTCCAAAACCAATGAATGCTGACAGTCACATTTTTATTAGCCTATTTTTAGATCTCATATATCAGTGAGTTCCATGTATCTAATAACTGACTATTCAGACCTATCCACGCTTAATTTGACCTGCTCTCTTGCTTGTCTTATGAAAATATGCCATGCTTATATATATATATATATACAAAAATGATCTAATGAGCACCGGTGCTCATCTTATCCTAAACACCAATGAGTTGGCACATTAATTCATTGGTGGATTGGAACTCACAAAATCTTTATCCACCAATGAATTAATGTGCCAACTCATCGGTGCTTAGGATAAGATGAG